GCAGTCTGCCTACTGGTTCTCCTCCCCTGAGATGTGTTCAGCCTTGAGAGAGGAAAGGTGAGATTCTGCCCAGGAGCCCAGTAACTGGACCTCGGACATGAGGGACTTGGACCGGGTACCCCTTTGCCGGTTCACGTGGGCCTTTGCCGCCATGTTGTCTGTAAGGACTAATATGTGTCATCTTGTACCCTGCTTGTGGAAGTGGCAAAGAGCTAAGTGTGCAAACTGAGACCAGAGGTGAGCTCCCCAACCGAACAGACTGGCATCCATCGTAATTGTAAGATGGTCGGGCTCCTTGAACAGTGACCCCCTGGCTACCGCTTGTGAGAACCACCAGCTAAGGGACCTCCGAGTTTGGACCAGAAACCTGACCTGCAGTTGGATGAGCTGACGCTCTGGAAGGGGAGTAGGAACCATTGGAGGCTTCTTAAATGGAGTCTGGCCCAGGGTACTATGACTATGGAAGAGACCATCTTCCCCAGGAGTTGGGAAAGTAGGGCCAGTGAGACAGTGTGGTCTTTGTACACTCGGAGAGCCAGGCCTCTGATGCTGTCCAGACACTCCTGGGAGAGATAGACCATGCAATCTACGATGTCTATGATGGCACCCAGGTTTAGGAGTTGGGTCGAGGGAACCGTCTGGCTCTTTTGGAAGTTCACCGAGAACCCGTGCTGTTGGAGGACCTGGGTCCTCCAACTAAGCCACCCAGAGGGAAGATGATTGAATAAGAATGTTGTCCAGCTAGCACTGAACGCGTACCGGTATCTTCCGTAAGTGAGCGGCCAGCACAGCCAGGATCTTGATGAACATCCTGAGAGCCAAGGAAAGACTGAACAGGAGGGCCCTGTACTGGAAGTGACGGCCCATGTAGCAGAACCTGAGGAACCACCGGTGATCTGGAAGGATGGGAGTGTGGAGATACGCTTCCGTGAGGTCTATAGACATCAGGAAGTCTCCTTTTCTGACACTTCCTAAGATGGACTGGAGTGTTTGCATCTTGAATTTTCTGTATGTAATGTGGTAATTCAGACATTTGAGATCTAGAATTGCCCTCCATCCCCCCGAGGCTTTGGGGACCACGAAGAGGATGGAATAGAATCCCCTTCCCTTCTGATCTGGTGGCACCGGTTCTATGGCCTGTATGTCCAGAAGATGACGAATGGCCTCTTGCATAAGACTCCGTTTGATTGAGTCCCGAGACAGGGGATAGGAGATGAAATGGCCCGGAGGACTGGACACAAATTCGAGGGACAGGCTGAATTGAATGGTTTGTAAGACCCAGGTGTCTGTGGTGGTGAGTTCCCACTGATGGAAGAAAAGGAATAGCCTGCCACCTATGGGAGGGCTGGTCCGAGAGTCACTTGGACCTCCTGAAGGGATGACCTTCCCCTCGAAATGGCCGTTTGCTTTGATTATCTGGGCCTAAAACCTGATCTGTCATATGGACCGTCCTGTCTGGGTGTGAAGGGGAAGGAAGTTTGGGCGGCTCCCGAGCCTGATGCTGACCGAAAGGACTGCCTACAGCCATAAGGAGTGGCGCGTCTGTCAGATTTTTTGTTGAGGTGGGCCATGACCTTCCGCTTGTCCTTATTCTCCACTAAATACAGATTCAGGGCCTCCCCAAATAGATGGCCTCCCTGGTAGGGAGCCATTGCTAGACGCCATTTGGACTTGGCATCAGCCTGCCAGTGCTTGAGCCATAGCATCCGTCTTGCCGTGACAATGGCTGCTATGGATCTGGAAGCAAAGTTGGCCGACTGCAAGGTTGCGCCCGATGCATATTCCGTCGCTGCAACCAGTTTCCTTAAATCTTGATGGGTCCGTATGTCCTCTGGAGGGAGCCTGGCCTGAAGTTGGCGAAGCCATAGGAGGGAGGTCCTGACGCAAAAGGACGCATGTGGCATTTTAATTGCCTACACGGCTGCCTGATTAATCTTGCAGAAGGTCAGGCTGGCAGCTATTGTGTCCTTTGATAGGGGACCGCGCGGTGTGTCCAAAATGGCGGCTGCTTCAAACACCGCAAGGGATCCCTGGGAGAGTTCGGGGGCTCTGCAGTGGACCCAGGAGCCATTCCCCCAAACCCGAGTGCATTAAAACAAAGGCAGGGTCAGCTGTTCAAAAAGGAACCCATTTTGCTGAAAATCGGCTCTGTTCAAGCTTCGTTGCCTTCGGCGGCAACCAAAATGGCGGCCGCAACTTTCTGGCTGTTAAAACAGCTGCCTGAGTTCTCATGGGACAGTTTTGGGCTTTTGGAAAAGATCTGAGCGGCAGCGCTGAACGCTGCACAGGGAAGGCTGACAAGGAAGTGAAAGAGTGAAGGAAAATTCTCCAGAACTCTGGGGAAGGAAAACGGAGAAAGTACACCCCCCAAGCCTCAAATCAGCTAATCTGAGGCAGCGCTGATCTCAGCGCTTCTGAGGATCCGTTGGGAAGAAATCCAAAGGTGGATCCACTAACCTGAGGAGAAGTGAGTGAGGAAAGGAAAATTCACCAATGGATATCTAATCTGCTAAATAAAGATTCGGGGTCTCTTAAAACCTGAGAGCCAAACCTGACCCATCTTCAAGAGCTAGAGACCAAGTCAAGACTGGGTTCCCCTAGCAACAAGGGGCGTGTCAAATTTGACTTACTTAGTCTCAAGAGCAGGCAGATAGAGAAAACCCATTGGTGAATTCTCCATCTCCTGTGCTGGAGAATATGGATCACTATTCTCCAAAGGCACAAAGACAATAAATCTTGACAGATGTAACTCTGTGCTAACACATTGGTATCAACATTGATTCCAAGAAAGAGCTCAAAATATTTTTTGATTAGCAAATTTCCCCAAGTATCCGTATTAATAGAAATATATATATTGCAAACATAGCTATTGGCATGCTTAAAACTTTAAAGTTTTTTCCTGACTCTATGTATGATGATATATATCAAAGTACTATACTGTGCTATATTTAATAGGGTATGTTGATAAAGATTTTAAAATATATCAATATTTTTGATATGAGTAGTCCTTGATTTATCATCAGATCTTTCAGACCTACTTTGAGCTAATTATTAGTGTGGCCACAGCACTCCCACAGTCACATCATCATATTTTGGGCATTTGGCAACTGGCTTACCATTACGGCCATCCTGCAGTCACATGGCTGCAATTTGCAATGGTTTTTTGCTGGTATTTATTTTCCGTTTCCAGCCAAAAAAAAAGAAAAAACATTCATCAGGGAAAAATGGATTTGTTTAACAATCGTGGCCTTCATTTTATAACTGTCTTACAAAATATTAAAAAATCTAGTCCAGTAACATGATGCCTCAATTTATAGCTGCAATGACTTACGATTATAATCTTGGCTGAATTATGGTTGTAAATTGAGGACTACCTGTATTCAATCCAAAACTAGTTAAACTAGATTAAAATCATAGAAGAAAAACATACCAGCCTTTAAATAGGGCTGGGATGGCTCTTCTCAACTTCTATATCCTATTTTGCCATTTAACTCTGTAACTTTCTATATTCTGGACAAGAAGTCTACAACAGGAAGACATGTACTGCAAAGTGCCCTTCAAAGTACCCTGCTCCAATATGAGGAAAGCAAGAGAATGCAAACTGACAATTGCAATCAAGTGACAACATTAAAAAGGAATAGAAAACAGAATAAAAGAACTATCCCATCTCCCTCCCTAACACAGAGTAATGTACCCTCATAACGTACAAATATTCATATTGTTTATAGGCTTGAACTGAAGGCTAAGGAAACTTAAAGGGACAAAACAAACATTTGATTTTAAAACCAAGAATTCAAGGAAGAGATCGCAGGCAACAGAAGAAATGTATAAAGGTAGTGCTAATCAAAAGAGAAATATGGAAACACATCACAGAGCCTAAGGCAAGGAAGAACTGTAGAATGTTGACAGAAGAAATGGAGGTAAGGAGAACAAAAACTGCAGGGCTATAACTCTAATTGGTGACAGAGGTCTTCCACAGAATTGATAGCATTTCTTATTATAAGCATAGCTAAAATAAAATTAAAGACTTTGTGAAGTACATGTATTCTTACTATAGCAATTGCTTATAGATCCTATATATAATTTATCTATCTGAGAGGCTATTTAACACCAATCCGGCAAATATAGTCATACAGAGAAATGAACAACTTCCCAAATCCAAGGGCCTACTATAAGGATCGGCATATAAATATGTGATATATTTTCAGTGCACATTTAGTGTATATATGTTCCCCTTTTGTGTTACAGATTTCCCAAGGCGAAACAATTTTCCCAGAATCAGATAAAGTGAAATTTAATACTTAAGACCATTCTTTTTTGGGAAATTCTGAAGTGACTGAGAAGAAAGAGTGATAGAAGAATGCCAAATCCAATTGAATCCCAAGAGTCCTGAGCAGATGAACTGAAGCTAAACATTACCAACTCATGATGACAGGAATACTGTTAGTAGAACATTGAAGCTGAGAGGCATGTGCAGAAATAAAATAAAAATATATTTCACTTCTTCAATTTTACTCCAACAGTAATATTCAAAGCAACATTTATTCAGATATTTGATTTTGATACATTTTGCTAATTTGGAAGGACTAAGATTTTCAAGGGACAGGGGCATTAGATCTCACCCAAAGAGTTCCTCCTGTAATAGCCATGTTGGGATACACGTCTGTTGTCTTTCTATATATGTTTTCTTTTCCACTGCAGCAAATTTTCCCAGCAACCATTGGTACATACCTCACCCAGCATCAAGTAAACATTTTAACATTTTCCCAAGAGCCTGCATATCCATTATGTTTTTTATCCAGCAGAGGTTATCAGGAGGTTTATATCACCCTCAAGACCAAGATGTAAATTTTTATCAGATATTATCCAATGTTATGACACACAATTACTTCATCTGCACATAAATAAAACTTCCCATGCAAGGTTCAAAGTTGTTGGGGACCATCTGTCCTTGCACATGTGATTTCCAGTGGGAAGACAGAGCAAGTGATGTTACTTACGGCTGGCACAGTTTGATCAGGTCCTGGTCAGTGGTGCTGGGAGGAAGGCCTCGGATGTACAGGTTGGTTTTACTCAACTGTTCACCACTGCTGATGTTGCTATTGTTGTTGCTACTGTTAGTGCTGGGGCTGGGAGGAGCCATGGAATGGGGAGCTGGTGCATAGGAATGCTGAAAACAAGAGAGAGGAATATTGGAAAAACAGATACAACTACTTTCATTATAGTAATCCTGGGCTGTACATAAGCCAGGGATACATTGTTTTTTTCAGATTTGTTTGGCATGTTGGAGATATTCTCCTTAAAATCTGGCAAGCGTAGATAGCAATTAAATTGGATGCAATTTAAAAGTAATAAAATATACATTGGATTAAATATAGTAGATAAGTATGCTGTTTACTAACCTATCCCTTCCACAGACAACAAAATTATGATTTGTTGGTAATTATGGGGGGGATTATTGAATTTGTATCCAAAGCTTTCAAATGGCACATACAGTGCAGGGGCCCTGGATAGTGTACAATCTATCCTAGGTAATGAAATGACTTACAACTACAATTGAGTCCAAGATTTCTGTTGATAAGTGAGACAGTTGTTAAGTGAATTTTGCTTCCATTTTACAACCTTTGTTACAACAGTTGGTAAATGAACCACTGCAGTTGTTAAATTAGTAACACTGATATTAAGAAAATTTGGCCTCCCCATTGACTTTGCTTATCAGAAGGTCGCAAAAGGTGATCACATGACCTTGGAAAGCTGCAACCATCATAAATATGTTGTCAAGCATCTGAATGTTGATTCTGGAAAATGGTCATAAGTCACTTTTTTCAGCACTGTTGTAACTTCAAACAGTCACTGAATGAACTGTTTTAAATCTAGGACTACCTGTATATTACATTTTCATCAGACCACCAAATAATATGTTGACATGACCTTGATTGTAACTTGAATGGCCAAATGCATACTTGTATGTGGTTAAAAAAAGGGCTCAAGTTATATTCTAGTCCCAGTTCATGTTCTTGTATTAATCTATTAAAATCTTTCCGGGGTAGAAACAACGTTTCTGAAGAAAGAGTGGAGAGAAAAGGGAATGGCCTTGAAGGATAAGAGGAAAAGATGACAATCAGACAAGCAGAGTTCTGAATCCATCCCCAAAATCTAATTTGATAAAAACATCTCAGAGAAGCCCCTCTTTAGCTCTCAGGAAGATAAAATAAATAAGAGAACAGCATATTCAGACTTCCAAAATTCTGTTACCATAATTGTTCCAGTAAAAGTGGTTTTCAATCTATATGACATTAGTTTCTTAGTCTGATTTTTCTTACAATGTTGATAAAAAGACTTTTTCCTGCATGTTTCCACCTATGCCATATAGCACATGGAGCCATCCCTGTGGGCATGCACACTATCGCCCCGGAGGGAGGCGGGGCCAGGCTGCTCACCTCCGCCTCTCCACGTGCGCCTATGTGCTCTTTCTCTGCACTCTAGTCGGAGCAGCTGCAAGATCTGGGCAGATCCGGGCTGGATGGTGGAGGCAGCTGCCAGCGCGAGACTAGGTAAGCCTGCAGAACAATTTTTCAGGCCTCCATGGCCAATCTGGATGGCAATGGCCTTTTCCAAGCCTCTGGAGCTTGGATTGGGCCGCTGGGGTGCCACAAAATCATCCCGTGGCTATGGATTCAAGCTCCAGAAGGAAGGCAGGATGATCCATCCTGGAGGTGGGGGTGGGAAAATGGCAGTGGTGGCACGGCGATCTGTGCGGGGGAGGAAAATGGTGGCAGCAGCAAGGAGGTCCATGTGGTGGGTGGGAAGAATGGCAGCGGCATGGCGATATGTATGGGGGGAAAACGGAGGCAACCCGTGCGAGGGAGGGAAACAGCAGCAGCAACAAGGAGATCCATGTGTGGGGGAAACAGCAGCGGCATGGTGATCCATGCAGGGGAAATGGCGGCAGGGCAAGGAGATCCATGCGGCAAGAGAACAGCAGCACGGCAATTTGTGCAAGAGAAAATGGCCAGTTTCAACTTGGCGTGGATCTTTGCCTTCTCTCAGCCTCAGCCCTGGTGGCGTGCTCGCCTCCCGCCGAAGCGCCGCCCACCTTGCCCAGAGCTGCCCTAGCTGGAGACAAAGATCCATGCCATGCCAAAAACGGCCGTTTGCTGTGACCTGCAAGGTGGGAAATGGCCGTTTTCAATGTGGCACGGATCTTTGCCTCCTCTTGGTCTCAGCCCTGGTGGCACGCTCACTTCCTGCCGAAACCCCTCCCGCTTTGCCAGTAGCTGCCCCTGGCCAGAGGCAGAGATCTGCGCCATTACTCTTTGCACCATTACTTTAATTTTATTACATTTTACAAGCTCACTAAATGAAAGAACACAAAAAAACCAACCAAATGTGGGGCTTCCGGTTCCGGATCGCGGTGCTGGCAGATGTTTGGAGAGACCGTTCTCCCCACCATATGGTCTTCCTTCTTTGGGAGACCCTGGAAAGGGTCAAAATTCACCCTGGAGGGACGATCACCATTGGGGAAGACCCTCTCTTGATCGCGGAGGGGCGGCCGCCTTTCCATTTGATCGGAGGCAGCTCCTCAGGACTGAAGAAGAAAAGAGCGGCCATAATGGCCGCTCATTAAATCGCACCAGCTGAAAGCCCAAAGCACTACCAAGCACGATGAAGTAACTGGAAGCGTTGGGTAAGACTCTATTTTACCTTTTCTCTTTCCCTACTATTTTCCTGTAAAAACCCTTGGAAATACCCTCTTCCGCCAGCTTACTTCCATAGCTTTTGTCTAGTTCGGGAATATAAAGCTAAAAAACAAAAAAAAGGACAACAAGACTAAATGACCACATATCTGGACTTGTAATCTCTGGATACCTGGGCTCCCTAAAAGTTCTGCATTTCTACAAAAACCTATTGCTTTATTTCTTTCTTAAGCTGGAAAAAAGGGAATATTTCTTTTTTCCTTCTCTGAACTGGATAAAAGCTCCATTCTGTATGTTACTGGGGACATCTTGTTGCGAAATTTCGTACAGCAAGTAATAGTAATAGTAGTAAAGTTGGAAGGGACCTTGGAGGTCATCTAGTCCAACCCCCTGCTCAGGCAGGAAACCCTACACCATTTCGGACAAATGGCTGTCCAGTCTCTTCTTAAAAACTTCCAGTGTTGGAGCATTTACTGCTTCTGAAGGCAGGCTGTTCCACTGATTCATTGTTCTCACTGTCAGGAAGTTTCTCCTTAGTTCTAGGTTGCTTCTCTCCTTGATTAGTTTCCACCCATTGCTTCTTGTCCTGCCTTCAGGTACTTTGGAAAATTCCCTCTTCTTTATGGCAGCCCCTGAGATATTGGAACACTGCTATCATGTCCCCCCTTGTCCTTCTCTTCGTTAAACTAGACATACCCAATTCCAGCAATCGTTCCTTATATGTTTTAGCCTCCAGTCCCCTAATCATCTTTGTTGCTCTCTTTCTAGAATCTCAACATCTTTTTTACATCGTGGTGACCAAAACTGGATGCAGTATTCCAAGTGTGGCCTTACCAAGGCATTGAAGAGTGGTATTAATACTTCACGTGATCTTGATTCTATCCCTCTGTTAATGCAGCCTAGCACTGTGTTGGCCTTTTCGGCAGCTGCAGCACACTGCTGGCTCATATTTAGGTGATTGTCTACTAGGACTCCGAGGTCCCTCTCACAGTTACTATTATTGAGCATGGTGCCACTTGTGCATTTGGTTTTTCTTTCCTAAATGTAGAACCTTGCTTTTTTCACCATTGAATTTCATTTTGTTAGTTAGTGCCCAGTGTTCAAGTCTGTCCAGATCCTTCTGTATCTTAAGCCTGTCTTCTGGAGTGTTGGCTATTCCTGCCAGCTTGGTGTCATCTGCAAATTTGATGAGTTCCCCATCTATCCCTTCACCCAAATCGTTGATGAAGATGTTGAAGAATACTGGGCCCAGAACAGAGCCCTGGGGCACCCCACTACACACTTCCCTCCATATAGATGCAGTTCCATTGAGGACCACTCGCTGAGTACGGCCGGTCAGCCAGCTACGGATCCATCTGGTGGTGGTTCTGTCTACCCCACATTTTTCTATCTTGTCAAGTAGTAGGTTGTGATCTACTTTATCAAATGCCTTACTGAAGTCCAAGTAAATTATGTCCACAGCATTCCTCTGATCCACTAATTTTGTCACTTGGTCAAAGAATGCAATAAGATTTGTCTGGCATGATCTATTTTTGACAAACCCATGTTGGCTTTTAGTGAAAAAAAGTTTTTTCTTTGACTAGGAGACTTCTGAGACTAAAATTTGTCCTTGACAGTAACAAAAAGATAAGAACTTGAAACAGCTGGGTGGTGAAAATAACTCTTTATAGTGGAGATGGACAGTTATCGACTTTTATCAAAAACAGCCTCCACTAAAGGACTATTCGTAAACATTACAGAAATGGAAGAACACCATCCACAGCTTAATTCAAACTTATACTTGAAAAAATCTTAGAGGCTACTGAACTAACGAATTCTAGAATGAAAGATATACATACCTTCTTAAAGCTACAAAATGCAGCCTTAACCTCAATAGATGAACCTACAACCCAAAAAGCAACAGAAGAAGGAATCAATAACAACATGGATTTTAAAGAATGTCAGCCACAATCTACTCAGAACTCCAACACCCACACTCATTTAAAGACTTTACAACTACAACAGCAACAGAAACTGAAGAAAGCAATACTAAGACGGAACTTATAGAGGACTTACATACACAATATACTGAGAATCTAGACAATCCAGATGACCCAAAAACAACTACAGCATTGAACATGACTTTTCAGCTAAACCAGCTGAAACCAGAAGAAGACCAGCCTGAACGCAAGACAAATATATTAAGTCAAATATGGAGATTTAAACCATTTGGCCAACAATTTAATGATTGTGAAGCGACTAGCTTCCTTGATAGGCTGATGATTGAATGTCTCCCTTGATTCAAATGATATATGCAGGAATGAAGGGAGATCCACCCGAGGATCTAAAAGCTTTTATGGAAGCTGGTTTGGCACAAAAGGAAGACCAGAGTTAGACTTTAAAAAATGGTTTTCTTTATGTGACATTTAATGGAAGAGCTTCAAATCTCACGTAATGAGATAAGGAGATTTTAAAAGACATTATCTGATTTAAT